CTGCCATACAGCGGGTATCTTTATGATACTGAACGCTGCCACCTGGGCCATGGATTCTTGTCCTGGCATAACTGTCTTTCCCTTAAATCATAGTCTGTACTGTGTCTGCTCCAGACATTCCTCTAACTATAAGCTGCTTATTCCTTAATTCATGCTCTGTACTGTGTCTACTCTAGGCATTCCTCCGATTATGAACTAAAATATAGTTATATATATCCACTAAGATATAACTTATTAGCAACTAAGATATAGTTTATATATATATATATACACACACACACACACACATATATATGTAAATCACTGAGTGGTAAGATATTCTTTAGGCACTCATTCTATGAACTAACATATGATTATATATATAGGATTATATAAAGGGAAATAACTAAGTAGTAACACTATAAACTGAAATATTCTCCAAGCCCTAATTCTATACACTAATATATGATTATATAAAGGATTATATAAAATGAAATAACTGATTAGTAACACTGTAAACACTGTAAACACTGTAAAACCCCATTTTTTGGGGTACAATGAACCGGGGATAGTGCGAGACAAGAACCCAGCCGGAGGCTACTGCAGTGGACCAGGCAAGAGATGATATTGGCTTATAAAGGTGATGACATTTTAAATGTTAAGAAACGGCCATAGTTAGGACACAGCTCAAAGTCACAATTTGCTAATAGTTTAAAGTCTGGGTGTAAGAGAAAAGCAGGCATCAAGAATGATGCCAAGGTTTTGGGCACCTGGATAAATAAATGGCAGTGCCATTTGTGGAAATGGGAAACAATGAGGGAAGGGCACATTTGGCTGCTTCGGTAAGAGTTCAGTGGTGGGCACGTTATGGGTATTAACTCTGAATCTTTTTGACAATGCTAAGGATAGAGAAGAAACCATTGGATTTGGTAATCAAATGTAATCCAATTTACAGGCTAAATTGATATTCAAGCAGGGATGATAAATCAACAACTTGTTATGAAACTCGAGTTTAGGGGAAAAACTGAGGTTAGAGATAATTTGGGAAGTTACCAGGATATAGTTAAGGCCATGGAACTGATGACCTCACACAGGGAATAAGGAAAGTTCTAGAAGAATCTGAGAGGACTAAGCCCTTGGTCACTTCAACCTAAAGGCTAGGAAGAGGAGAATTCAGCAAAGGAAACTGACTAAGAACAATCAGTGAGGTAGGACAATGGAGGTAGAGGCATCCCAGAAGTCATGTAAAGAAAGACTTCTAAGAAAATAAGAGGTGAATGTGTCAGATGAGTAAGATGAAAATGAAGAATTAGCCATTGACTCTTACAAGGCACAGACCATTGTGACTTCAACAAAAGCCACTGCAGCTAAATGGAGGGGATGAAAGCTTAATTTAAGTGGTTCTTAAGGGGGAAAAAGGGGGAAAGAGGACATGGAAACAATGACTTACAGGTGATTCAAACGATAAATTTTTCCTCTAAAGCAGAGCAAAGAAATCCTGGTACCTGGGTAGGCACATGGGGTTCAGGGAAGGTTTGGGTTTTTTTTGTTTGTTTGTTTGTTTTTTAAGATAAGAGTTACTGTGGATTTTGTTGTTGCTGTTGTTTGGTTAGTTGGATTTTGTTTTTGTTTTTGAGACAAGGTCCTGTTCTGTTGCCCAGGTTGGAATGCAGTGGCATGATCATATCTCGCTGTAGCCTTGAACTGCTGAGCCTGAGGTAATCCTCCTGCCTCAGTCTACAGTAGCCGGGACTACAGGTTTATTTTGCTGTGGTGGTGGTGGTGGGTTTTTTTTTCTCTTTTTCTTTTTTTTTTTTTTTTTTTTTTTTTAGAAACGAGGTCTCACTATGTTGCTCAGGCTGGTTTTGAATTCCAGCCTCAACTAATCCTTCTACCTTGGCCTCGCAAAGTGCTGGGATTACAGGTGTGACCCACCACGCCCAGTCCATTGCACATGTTTGTATGCCGATGGGAATGATCCAGTAGAGGAGAATACAATGATGCGGGAGAGAGGCTAATTTTAGGAGCAAAGAGCTTAAAGAAGTTAGAGAGAATTGACAAGGATCTAGAAATAGAAATTCCATTTGACCCAACAATCTCATTACTGGGCATATACCCAAAGGATTATAAATCATTGTATTATAAAGACACATGCACACGTATGTTCAATGTAGCACTGTTTACAATAGCAAAGACCTGGAACCAACCCAAATGCCCATCAATGATAGACTGGACAAAGAAAATGTGGCACATATACACCATGGAATACTACACAGCCATAAAAAATGATGAATTCGTGTCCTTTGTAGTGACATGGATGAATCTGGAAACCATCATTCTCAGCAAACTAACCAAGAACAGAAAATCAAACACCGTATGTTCTCATTCACAGGTGGGTGTTGAACAATGAGAACACATGGACACAGGGAGGGGAGCATCACACACTGGGGTCTGTTGTGGGAGCCAGGGGAGAGACAGCAGGGAGTGGGGAGAGTGGGGAGGAATAACATGGGGAGAAATACCAGATATAGGTGATGGGGGGATGGAGGCAGCAAACCACCTGCCATGTATGTACCTATGCAACAATCCTGCATGATCTGCACATGAACCCCAGAACCTAAAGTGCAATTTAAAAAAAGAAGAAGAAAAAAAGACAGAATTGAAATCCAACATACAGATTGAGGGAGTGGCCTTTAATAGGAGCGAGGACAGTTCATCCATTATTAACAGGAAAAAAGTAGAGTACATATATATAGATGCTGGTAGTTTGGCAGATTTCATGGTGGAAAGATATGAAGCTCTTTCAGAATTCTATTCTCAGTGAAGAAAAAAAGTGAAATCACCAGCTAAGAGCAAGGAGGAAAGGATGCAGAAGGTTTGAGGAAAGAGCACTCACCATAATTTCTGGGACAGCTGGAAAATGAACTGACTGGGGAAATACAGTATGACTGGCAAGCAGCACTGAGAGCCCACATGAAGTTCAAGGGCATGGATTTAAAGGTCGGTTAGCATACTTGGCATAGTTGTTTGCCTGACTCTTGCCATTATCTGTTATTCCAAGTGCAGGCAAGAATTGGATTTAACAAGGCAAGAATGACAGAAGGAGAGAGGATCAAGGGAGTGATTCCATTGTTAGTCCATGGAATATAAGGTGAGGAGAGACAGCAGGACATAAGATAGTGATATATAATGAAAAGTTAGTAGGATCAGTGGATTAGAAGTCCCTCTGAAGCTGAAAATTTGATGGGGGTTCATAGAGGAGTGAGCTGGAAAGCTAAGACATGGTTAGAGATTAGAGTGCTTGAAATATTCTGGAAATGGTACAGCAATTAACAATGGCTTTGATAGTGGGTGCCTATGATGGGGTGAAGGACAAGATCTTTCCAAGTGATGAGGTCGAAGAACCGATAAGCAAACCGGATCATCCAAGTGGATCTGAAATCTCCATGCATGATGATAGGAGTGGCAGCATAGAGAAAAGCAATAAACTAGAGCAGTTTTGGGAGAATGGAGAAAAGAAGCCTAACCAAATGTGTTGAGAATGAGGGGTGAATAAGTTGAGTCAGTGAGTGGAGGCAACTCTTTTAACAAGATTTGCAGTGAAGTGCAGCAGAGTGGTGGTGGTAATGCTGATGGAAGGGGAGTGTCTGAAAAAGACATGGGGTCAAGAGTTATTTCAAGATGGAAGATTCTAGAGTATGTATGTGCTCATGGAACTGATTAATTAGAAAGGGAGAAATTAATGTTGTAGGAGAGAGACAGGATAACTGCAGGAAGAAAATTCTTCAGGAGATAAGAGAGTGGTATCTATAGCCTAAGTGAAGGATTTTGCTTTTTATTTATTTATTTTTTTTTAAAAAAGCACAGTTCTTCCCTGAAATATGAGAAAAGGCAGAATTCCTGGGTACAGATGCGGGTAAAACAATAGATCCACGGTAAGAAAATAAGGGATTTCATGACTGATCACTTCTATTTTCTCAATAAAGAATGTGGAAAAGTCTTCAATTGAGGTAGGGGTCAAAGGTGTGAAGTTTAGAGGAGAGTAAAGAAGGCAGTTAGTCATCACTTCAGAGACTGGGAAAACTAACCTACTCAGGGAATAAAGTGAGCTGAAACTGAAATAAACCAGATGTTATGACTGTGCCATTTTGCACAGCAAGAGTCAACTGCTGAGGTGTAGGAAGGGAGTAGATGGATGGCTGGCTTTAACCAGGGTTGGGGGTTTTGTCAGAAGTATGGTGAATAACCAGAGAGCCAGTGGAGTGGTGGAAGACGTAAGGAAGCAATTGCGATGGCAGACCATGGAATCGAGGCTGGGTAAGAAGGAGTCAGAACATGAGATAAAAATTGGTCTCCCAAAAGACTGGCCGCCTAATGAGGGCAAATAATTGTTTTGGGTTGGGTCATTAGTGAGGGGTCATAAAAGAGCTGGTGGGGTCAGAGCAAGGATGTTTATACCCAAGTCCCATCTGCTCTGTTATCTTGTGAATGTGGTGAGGATTGAGCATATCCTGAGCACTTTGTAGATGCATACTCTTCGAATACTTGCTCAATGAATGTTTTCCACATGCGACCACACGCCAAACACTGACGAAAATATTCTCCCTTCAAGGATCACTCCCTTGAGTTGAGGAGAAAGACGAATGGTGAAATACAAGATCTCAAGTGCTCTAATAAGGGTTATATTCTAAGTGTGACCCAGGGGGTTGCAATGACTAACTGTAGAGGCGAATAAAGAAAGGCTTCAAAAGGAGATGACGATAGCTCACCAGGTGGCAGTGGAAGAGAGTATGTTTCCCTCATTATCAGCGTATCAATTTCCCATCCGAGTCCCTTGAAACCCAAGGACTGATGGTTGTGAAGCCACAGGCAAATGACACGAGTTCCTTTCAATAAGGCAAGCTCTTGCATGCAAACCTCCACCTTAGGACCCCCGTTCTAGATGGGGCGTGGTTGCTCAGTGCGTAGGGAATGAAGGAAGGGAGGAGCAGGGGAGGAGACGTGGGAAGGGGAACACCTACCGCCCAGGAAAGACAGCTGAGGAGGCCGTGGCGGCACTCTGGTGATCAGAGATGGAGAGGTCATTGCTGCGGCGCTGGGAAGCAACACGGTTTCCTTGGCCTCGCAGAGCTTGCGGGGCTCACGGGTTTTGCGGGCCTGGCGGGACTCACGGGCCTTGAGGAGTTTGGGGGCTGCACGGGGCTCATGGAGTTCGTAGGGTGCACAGGAATCCCGGGGCTCGTGGGGCGCATAAGGCGCGTGGGGCTCAAAGGACTCGTAGGGTTCATCACATTGCTCGGAGTCGTCTGGCTGGTCTTGTTCCCTGATCTTCTCGGGCTCCTCGCCATTCTCGGGTTCCTCGGCATTCTCGTACTCCCCAAGGTCGCTGTGAGTGTCGAGAATCCTGAGCACAATGGGCTTCTGGACTTCAGAGCAAGTAGGTATTTCTGTTGAGTCCTGCCCATCGATCACCTCGGACGGCGGAGACGAACCTAGAAACTCTTGGTTCTCCATTCACGCCAGAAGATTCTGTCGCACGCGGCGTTCACCCTCCCGGCTGGCTGCCCAGGCGCAGTTTGCTTCCCAAGCGCTGCTACCGGGATGCCAGGGCAGTCTGCGCCAGTCCGCGCCCAGCCCCACCCCGAGCCCCGCCCCAGCCCCCACACAGCCCCCCCCCGTCCCACCCCCCCGAGCCCCGCCCCAGTCTCACTCCCCCCCGAGCCCCGCCCTAGCCCCACACAGCCCCGCCCCAGCCCCGCCCCGATCCCAACCCCCCGAACAGCCCCGCCCCTGCGGGACTCAGCCCCACCTCACGCCGTCTTCCTACGCGTTGTGGTTGCCAAGTGGGCGCATCCGGGCGGAGAAAAGCCAGAGGCGCGTCGGTGGAGATAGGAGACGAGATCCTGACCCTGCTGCCCGTGTTCAGGGCGAGGATTCTCGCCTGCTGTCTTTCGCCGAGGCCCTGAGGTAGAACATGTCAGTTTCTAATGTAGTTAGGGGGCCCCTCAGACCCCAGAGCCAATCTATATAGAGACTGTGCCCAGAGGTTCACGGACACAATCTCTATACAGGTTTTTGTCCCCTAATCATGCTGGGAGAGGACGCCGAGACTGATAATATTCTAAGACCCTCAATCACTACCGCTGATTTCCATCAATTTCTAGTTAAATACACAGGAATCAGGATGGAGCGGGGGAGCGGGAGCCGAGGGGTGCGAGGGAGGTGGAGGCACCAGTGCGACATTTGACATATGCTTACATTCAAGAAGAGTCTCAAAGTTGGATATTTTACTTATCTCCACATGAAGTTCTACACACAGTCACAGAGAAACACTGACTGGATTAAAAGAAAATTATATTCATCTACAACTTGTGTCTCATACAGTACTCACTATCTACTGAAGTATGCTATAAACTACTTTTCATACAGGGCTGTAATTATCTTGTGAACAGTATAACTGTGCGCTGTGTTCTGTGGGTGCGTCCATTAATTTGGTAACTGTGGTATCTTTTAAATATACCACAATTTTTGTAACCCTGTTTTCGGCATTCCCTCTTGTCACTTACTATACCAAGAGACTTTAAAAACTTAGGAGGCCTGGCCCTCTCTCAATCTTGAGGAGTGCTTTCAGCTGATTTTCATGGCGGTGACAGTGTGGTAGAGGGGAATAGAAGTGGTGGAGTTTATTTTCAAGGGAAGGGACTAGAGGTGTTAAGGAATAAGTTGTCTGTTGAAGTATTTAGTAAACCCAAGTACCCCTTTTGCTCATTGCTGGGTATTCCTTGTATGTACTTAATCTTATAGATGCTAAGAAAAGTTAGAAAAGAAATATTTTGGATTGCGAATGTTATCTGGAATGGAACTAGGAGATTCATTCTAGCATATGTGTATGTGAATCAGGAAATCTCCTTCAACCTCACTTTGACATAGATGTGTGTAATAATGTATGGAAATTCAAAAAATATCCCCCAAAACTTGGAAGGAGAAATAAAGCTACTTCTCAGAGAGTTTTAACTCAACCTGTAAATGCATCAGGGAGGAGTTATGCAAATCCACCTTTAATCAGTAAAACTAGTCCATGACTAAGTGAAATGTCTTCAAAAGTCCAAAGAACGTGTCAATTGAAAGACGGGGATTCAGCCCACAGTGGACATACAGAGAGTCATAGAGGCTGTACCCTTTCAAAAACTACAGAAAGGAGGGCATCTAAGCCAACGCACTGCAATTGTTACAGCCTGTCTTTTAGGCCCACTTGCTATGAATGTGGTGCCACTATACATCAAAATATTCATGCTCAGCTTCCTTTCCTTTTTATTTGAGACAGGATCTGGCTCTGCTGTCCAGGCTGGGGTACAGTGACATGATCTTGACTCACTGCAACTTCTGCCTCTTGAGCTCATACAATTCTCCTACCTCAGCCTCTGGAGTAACTGGGATTACAGGTACATGCAACCATGCCTGACTAATTTTTTGTATTTTTTGTAGAGACAGGGTTTTGCCATATTGCCCAGGCTAGACTCAAACTCCTGAGCTCAAGTGATCCACTCACCTTGGCCTCCCAAAGTGCTAGGATTACAGGTATGAACCACTGCACCCTGCCCAGGCGACTTTCTGACGTGACTCAGCTTCTCAAGGAGTCTGCTTATTGGGAAAGATTAGTAATGATCACACAGAAAGAATTCTTGTCCATGTCTGTCTTAGTTCATTTTATGTTGCCATAATAGAAAACCTGAGACTCGTAATTTATAAAGAACTTATTTCTCATAGTTCTGGAGGCTGGAGACTCCAAGCACATGGCCCTGGCATCTGGTGAGTCTTTCTTGATGCATGGTAACATGGTGGAAGGGAAAATAGGTATGAAAGACAGAGAGGCACCAGGGGCCGGACTCACTTTATAACAACCCACTGCTATCATAATGACGTCATGGTAATGTCACAGTGGGCCTCCCAGGCCCTTCATCTGGATTCTACAATGGCCTCTGAACTGGTGGAACTTCTGACTTTTACCTTTGATCACCTCCAATCATGACACTCCATACCATTTTTTAAAATCCTCAAGCTTTGCATTATGAGGTGTCCCATACTCTGGTCCTTTTCTCTTCTCTGGTCTACTTTGAGCCACTCCACGTTACTGTTTACATTCCGACCTCCCTGCTCTTTTCTAAAGTGTCAAGCTTTTTCCCATTTTGATCTCTTCTCACACCTGTTCCTACTGCCTGGAACCCATTTCTTGCCACTCTTTACATACTGTCTCTTTTCTATCCTTTAGGATTCAGCTTAAATATTACCCACTCAAAGAGGTCTTTCCAGGCCATCTTAATTTTTTTGTTTGTTTGTTTGAGATCCAGGCTGGAGTACATTGGCACCGTCTCGGCTCACTGCAACCTCCACCTCCGGGGTTCAAGCTATTCTCCTGCCTCAGCCTCCTGAGTAACTGGGATTACAGATGCCTGCCACCACACCCAGCTAATTTTTGTACTTTTAGCATAGGCAGGGTTTCACTATGTTGGCTAGACTGGATTCAAACTCCTGACCTCAGGTGATCCGCCTACCTCAGCCTCCCAAAGTGCTGGGATTACAGGTGTGAGCCACCATGCCCGGCCTTCCAGGCCATATTAATTTTTAAAATGTTCCCACCATTATTTTCTATTTCAGCTCCTTGCCACAACATAATTTGTACTTATTTCATCTGTTTGTTTATTTTTGTGTATTTCCCCATCTACAATGTAAGCTCTCTGTCCTGGTCACTGGTATATTCCCTGTGCCAAGCACAGTGAATGACTGTGAATAGCTGTCATTATTTTGTTTTCCTGACTAGAATCCCTTCCCTCTTCATCTGAAGGCAGAACCCTCCCACCTCCCTTCCACAGGGAACTCATTCAGTATAGTTTAAGGAGCTGATCCTTCCTTCTAACCCAGGCCTGACCAATCCAGCCACAGTAATTGGTTCAGGGATGAATATGCAACCCCAGAAGAGCCAATTGGTATCCTTCCAAGAGGTTTAATGGATGGATGCTCAGAAAGGGAGGGTCCATGTTACGCTGGGATCATGAGCTGTAAGAATGGCTTGTGTTGACAGCAGTTATCTTGCTACTCCAAGGAGGGAATCTGAGAATCAAACTAAGCAGAGGTTGGCGGGGCCAGGACATGGAGAAACAGTCTTATCTTTGAACTCCTGAACTCCTAAATCCACCCATGTCCAGATTTTCCAGGATGATGAGGAAAAAAAAATTATTTCCTTTTGGGGCACACACAAATTTGAGTTGAAATTCCATTAAAAAAATAATTTTGTAGAGACAGGGTCTTTCTATGTTGCCCAGGTTGCTCTCTACCTCCTGACCTGCAGTGGTCCTCCTGCCTCTGCTCCCCAAAGTGCTGGGATTACAGGCCTGAGCCAGTGTGCCCAGTTGTTGTTGTTGTTGTTTGTTTATTTTTATTTTTAGAAAAAAAAAAAGGGCCGGAGAGCGCCCGCGGGTCTCAAACCACACAGAGTGACTGTTTTCAACCACAGAAAGCATTGTCGAAGTAACCGCTGAGCTAAAGCTAGCCCTGTTTTTTTTTTTTTTTTTTTTTTTTTTTAGACAAGGTCTTATTCTATCACCCAAGCTGAAGTGCAGTAATGCAATCATTGCTCATTGCAGCCTTGACTTTCCCAGGCTCAAATGATCCTCCCACCTTAGCCTCCCGAGCAGCTGGGACTACTGGCATGTGCCGTCACATCTGGCTGGTCTTTTGTTTGTCTCTTTGTTTCCAGTTTGTGTTTTTTGAAGAGACAGGGTTTTGTCAAGTTGCCCAGGCTGGTCTCAAACTCCTGGGCTCAAGTGATCCGCCTACCTTGGCCTCCCAAAGTGCTGGGATTACAGGCATGATCCACTGCACCCAGCCTGAATTTCCATTATTTTTAACTGAAAGAGTTCTGGCACATCATCTGGTATGTGGTGCTTCCAAAATGTTTACTGAATGAAAAGGCATGTCCACTCTTGGTGTGCTAACTAAACCCACTTTCTGACATGAATCAACTTCTCAAGCACAGAAGGCTTGTAAGCCTGGAAGGCTGGCAACAAACACCAGGTTGTGGTAAATTCTCCAAGGTAGTATGCCACCCCAATAGGTCCATTGGGCAGAATACCCGCCAGGCAGCCTCTCTGACGATACACCAACCTGTCTTGGTTGTCTGGTGCCACTTCTAAGCGCTATTTCTGTTAGAAACCCCCATGACACAAACCCTCGTCATTAGCCTGAGAGCATCTCAAGTACGGAAGCCCTGCTTTGTTCATCCTGTTGTCAAGCAATGACTGCCACGTTGGCACTTCATAGCTGTCCACTGAAGGAAAAACTCCAAACACAACACATGTTGCCAAAATGCAGAATCTGAAGTCAGAATCTGAGAATAAAAAGACCAAACAGGGAAGAACAGAGATATTGTTCCCCATCCTGAAAGTTTTTGGTATTATCTTTGAAATAAGCATCCAGAAACTTGTCTGTGTCTCTGATAACCTTAGAAATCCTAGGGAAGACACAAGCACATAGAATCAGAGTTTAGGGCTGGAAGTGGTCTGCATCTCACTTGATCTTTTTATAAGGACAAGACCAAGACAGCCAAGGAA